GTAGGGACTAATGGTGGGTTAGTCAAGGGAATAAATACCCCACTTTCGTCACAGCGAGGGCTTAAAACTGCCATTTTACTAATGGAGGGCAAACGTGCTTGTCGAATAGCGGGACAACTTTGGCTCTGTTCCGTTGATGTAATCAGAAGGAAATTGAGGTAGAGTAACCAAAAGTTTAGTTTGATGAGCTGATGGTGCTCAAGAAGCAAGAGCAAATGATGATAAGTGCTTATTGAAGGCATCATTATAAAAAAAATGTGTTTATTGAAGGCAATCGCAGAAACTCTGGAAGTGTATGAGGCAATAAAAAATGCTTGATCGTCCATCTCTTCTTAATGCCCAAAGTTATCCAATATCTATACTAGTGATAGGAGGCAAGTATCCAGAGGAACCTTTGACATGCAGCCAAGTGTACTACTGTTATTCCCCAAAGAAAAAGCATCCTTCTTTTGATGTTGTATGATGTTGCTTGTTTGTACATATAGTCTTCGTTGCCTTGCCTCTTTAGGTAGATGGTGGATAGAACCTCTTCTGCTCTCTCCCTCTTTCACTTCCGCTCGTTTCTGTGATTTGTCCCTTCATGTTTGTTGTTTCACTTTCTTTATGTGTGGGTTTATTTCCTTTTTTCCCCTTCCAGTTGCAGGTTGGTTGAGCATTATTGAGTTGGTTTAGTTGAAAATATTACCAAAGTCAATATGTCATGCACTTTCAATTTGCATTCTTATTATTTAATTGAAGTCGTTGACATACAAACTGAGTTGTATATCATTTGGCATGGTGTCTAATTGTTTGTGTCCTGGATTCTGCAGTACTATTATGAACCAGTCTCCGGGAGTAAATTCCGATCAAAGACTGAGGTGCTTTATTTCCTGGAAACGGGTGGCAAGCGCAAGAAGGCAATTACTGGCAGTGGCACTGATGCTACAGTGAGTGAATCAAAACATTAATAATAATCTATCACCTCTATGTTTGTATAATTGTATCAGTCTTCCTTTGCTACAAAGAAACATACATCTTGCGTGTTTTGATGGTACAATATCTTTTGCAGCCATCTGAGACCCCCCCAATCAAAAAACAGAAGAAGAGCATCTCGAAAACAAAGAAGGTTACCTCTTTCTACTTTGATTCTGGGAATCCGCCACAGAGCGTGTGCTGGGTTCAGACGGATACTTCCGCAGATACTTGGACACCTTCATGTAATGGCAGTGTGGTTCCTGGAACCCGGAAACAAGAATGGGATGCTGTGTTCTTAAGTGTATCCAAGCTGAAGCGAAGGAACACACAAACAGGGAGATAGGCGGCTGTAATGTGCACCATACTCTAACAGTCAACGAACCTTTTTCCGGATCCATCTAGACTAGATAGTGTGTCAAATGCCGCCTGAATTTGCCTTACTTCTTTTGGGTTTAGCTAAAGGGTCTCATAGTTGTTGATAACTTCTTGTTTTGGCCTTAAGGCATAGGCAAAAGTTGCTTCACCTAAATCTGTTCATCATGTAATCTTGTGGTATTTTGAAATTAATTAGTTTCAAGACCTTCCGTATTAAGTAAATTACCAATGAATTTGAAGCATTTTAGTAGGATTGACATAATATTGTTGCAATTGTGAAAATACTGTAGTTATTGAGTATGATGAGGACTTATCTTAATGCTTGTGAAGTTTGCATCAGATTACATATTTGAGCCGTAGAAGCAATTACTAATTAGGTAGACGGTCCACATTACACCCCTCAAGGTGTGACCTTGAAATCTATACAAATACAAGATATTTTGTGCATTAGGCTGATTTTTTAAAATTAATTATTAATTACACTATATTATATTTGCATAGATGATTAGATCACTCATATAGGTTGATATATTCTTGGTGTATCGTAGTGTAATTTCATTTTAATCCGTAGCTAATTTGTAGAGATTATCTCAAACTTATTGTGTGTAAATTTATCAAAAATACCGATTTCTTTTTTTTTGGTCAAAAATACAAAAATCACAACAAAAAAAATTGTATTAACCACCAAAAATAGATCAAAAAGATGTATCACAGCAAATTTACAATATACTTTAGAAATAGACCAAAAGAACTGCAAATATCACACACACAAATATGATTTCGCATAAAATATTTTCTTTGCATCCAATATTTTCTAGTTTCGATTAAATGTAATAATCACCATATCATAGTTTAATAAATATGTCAAACTTAAAAGAATAAAAATGCTAAAAAACTTAAAAGGGACTACTTTGTACCTATTAACAAAGTTAAGGTATCATTTTGTTGTTTTCTCATCTATTTTTTTTTCTTCCAGAACTAGACCAAGTAGTTTATACACACTTCTCAACTATTCCTTTTTTTTCTAGTTAACACAAAGTGCTGAAGAAATTGGATTTTTTTTTCCAGTGATGGAAGATGGAGATTTATTAGGTTCTAAGAAAAATGGAGAAATAGATGAGAGAAGTAAAATTAATAGTACTAATGGTGCTGAGAAGAATGTAGAGATTTCAGTACCTACAACTTCTACTATGTTTCTATTTTGTCCGACGGATGAAGAAGGTTCAAGGATCTGATAAATGGATGATAGATTTATTAGCCTTGGGATCTCACATGTACTTACATCCCCATTTTTTTGTTGCTTTTGTTCATATGGGTTATTACCTCTGTACGGGTACGGTCGGGGTACATCTTACCTTCACCAAACTCCACTTGTGGGATTATACTGGGTATGTTTTTGTAGTGTTAATATGTGTTATTGTAAATGATCACTTTTAACTTTTACAAGGACATGATGCATCTTGAAATTACTGATGACATGACCTCAGATAAGAGGGTTTGAAGGTCGCAGATTTGGTTGGAAGGTTAGTTGGTAGTTGAGCATATTGTCGCATCTTGTGCTTATTGTGGACATGACCTTAGATAGAAGGATTTAGTGGTTATGGATTAGGATTTAGTGTTTGCATCTTGTGCTTAGTGGGAACATCACCTTCAATGGGAGTGTTTGTTGGTCGTGAATTAGGATAGAAGGTTAGTAGGTAGTTGAACATTCTCTTGCATCTTGTGCTTATTGCTTATTGGGGACATGACCTTAAATAGGAAGGTTTGCTGGTCGTGAATTAGGATGGAAGGTTAGTTGGTAGTTGAACGTTCTCTCGCTTCTGTGCGAGATAGGCTTGGTGGTTGTACATGTATCTACTTTCTTACCAGTAGTATTAGCATTATTGTCGTAGTTTCTTGCCTTCGATTTCAATTATCACTTGTGCTTTTGTGCTTCGGTTATCGCATCATTTCATTGTCGCTATTGTTCTTTCTTTTGTATGTTGCTTTCTACTTTTCTTTTCATATTATTTCGTTGTTATTGCTTCCATTTATGTATTCCCTGTTTCGAAAAACTTTGCTATGCTTTCTAATTTGAGTTTCTATTAAAACACAACCTCTCTATCTTTACAAGGTAAGGGTAAAATCTGCATACACTCTACTCTCCCTATACTTTACTTGTAGGATTACACTGGGTATGTTGTTGTTGAATGATATTTAAAATTTACTTATAAAAGTAAACATACATGTACAATTTTTATCCTCATTGATAAATTTGGCACCATTAACTATGGTCAAGTGGACTTTACCCTTACTAGAAGTTGTGATAGAACCACATGTAAGGACGGTAAGGTTATACCAATAGATGCCATGACCACCAAACATAGGTAAAACGTGAGTGTAGAGTCAGAAGAGATATGAAGAGTTTGATGGTGGGCATTAAAGGGAGTGTACTAATTAGCCTTTCAAGAAAAACTGTGATTGCAAGAATCTTGGTGGTAGAATGATGAAGTGCAAACTGCAAAGATTTACTAGAACTTAAAGAAGAATGTTGTAAAAAGTTACCAAAACAAAAGATAATGAAACCTTTGAAGAGTATAAGAGAGTTAAGAGGGAAGGTAAGGAGGCTATTGGTAAAGTTGGGGAGAAGCCCTAGATGACTTGTACACGATGTTAAAGGACAAAGAGGGAGTAATGTTTATAAACTAGAACGATTGAGAGAGAAGCACAGTAAGCACTTAAACCAAGTGAATTTGTATTATAGATAGTCCTCAAGAATTATTGATAGAAGATAATGAGATCAAAGAGAGGCGTGAATGTTGTTTTGATCAATTGTTCAGTTCGTACTATAAGATTAACATTTTGTATCTCCATACCTTTGTGCACGATAGAGATTTTAGCTACACTTGTAGAATTAGGCCGACAAAGGAAAATGAGACCATGAAAAATACGAGGACTAAAAAGCCCAATCTGAATAGTATCCAAATAGAGTTTGGAAGTGTCTTTGGAGAGGTTGAAGTCTGCTGACTTACCAAGCTAATTAATGTTATACTAACAAGTGTAGGATGCTTGAGGAGTGAAGAAAGAGTACATTTATTCCAATTTACAAAAATAAAGGAGATATTCAAAGTTGTACGGATTGTTATGTCATTGAACTGTGAGCCATGTGATGGAACCATGAGAGTTATAGAATGAGGACATCACAAAAGTGAGAACAATGGATTTATACCTTGTATATCCACAATGAAGGTTGCATTCTTATTATGAAGATTAATGTGAATTTTTCGTGAGAAGATGACAGGTCTATCTATGGTGGTCATTGACCTAGAGAAAAAAATGTGATACGAATACCAAAAAAGGTCCTTTGTGGGTGTTAGATAAGAAATGACACTACAACAAACGCAGTGTAATTTCACGAGTGGGGTTTGGGGAGGGTGGTGTGTACTCATGCTTACCCTAACCTTGTGAAAGTATAGATATTGTTTTTGATAGGCCCTCTTGCAGATGACGACGACGTCGAGTTTAAAATAGAAAAAGACTCGATATATATTTAGTTTTTGTTTTATCTTCAATAAAATAATTTATAACTGTAAAAAAATATTTCTAAATTATTTAAAATCATAAAAAAATTTATTAAAAATTGACCTATCACATACTGCCAGATCACTTGGCTACTTTGGGGGGAGGGGGGGTTGTACTTCTAGAAACAAAATGAAATAATGTTTCTTGATTTAAAAAGGAATGTTATTTATAGTTTATGAAAATTTACTTTAAAAGTACAATCAGAAATATATTGTCTGTCATTTCCCATTATTCAATTGATATTCTTCTCTCTATTGACTCTTTCAACGCTTCCCCGCACTATTAACTCCATATGATGACTGAAGCCGCCGTCGTCTCATCCATCCCGCTGGTAACCGTTACCAACGGTGAATTCCAGGATGGCTCCTTACAGACGGATCCGCTGTTACAGTCCGGAACCTACATCGACGCTGAACCGAACAACAACGTCCTGCCAAATGAAGGAAATGGGTCCAATCTGACTCGGGCGCTGGCGGGGACTACTTTGGAGATGCAGAAGACCGCATTGGCGGCTGAGATGGTTATGCCGGTGCATCAGGTGAATGTTGAGAGATCAAGCTTGTTGCCGGGGGAGTGGAAGTTTGAAACAAAAATCTTCCATGTTGATAGGGTAAAAATTCCGTCTTGAAACTACCTATGCATATAGTGTTGGACTTAACTTGTGCTACATTTGGATTATTTTGCCTCTTTTATCCTTTATTTAACAAAATAAATCTAGGTTTATATTTTACTCATCACGATTTCCGAATGCTATGTAATTATTTCTCTTATTAAGTGTTATATATGCCTTTCTTCTGTGTTTTGTGTTTGTATTTTTGAAAATGCGTTGATATGTGTTACTTGAGGCGAGGGTCTTTCCAAAATAACCTCTTTACCTCTAAGGAGGTAGGAGTAAGGTATGTGTTTATTCTACCTTCCCAAAACACCACTTGTGTGATTACACTGGGTATATTGTTGTTGTTATTGTTGTTGGTTGTTGTGCGTTATATAGCAAATGCATCTGAAAATGTGGTTATTTTCTCTAGTTTTTACTTTTAATATTGGAGTTTGAATTAGAAATTATTTCAGAAACTAGAGCATGAAGGATTTTTAATTGTTTGTCGTGTTCAATAGAAGTAGAGACTGTTGTGTTTTGAGTATGAACAGATGATAAGCTGTTATTCTACAAGTTTCTCGTCTATTGAAATTATTAGAATGTAGATGATTCATGATAGATATAGTATAGGGATAAATAATGAAATGGTGGCTAGAATGTGACAAAGATATAAACGTCTTATAAAGTGAAAAATAGCTAGTCTGCAGTATTATTATGAAACAGTTTCCGGGGGTAAATTTCGGTCAAAAAATAAGGTGCTTTATTTCCTGTAAATGGGTGGCAAGCACTAGAAGGGAAACACTGGCAGTGGCAGTGATGCTACAATTAGTGAATCAAAACATTAGTTATAACCTATCACTTCTATGTTTGTATTAGTCTTCCTTTTGCTTCAAAGAAACATACATCTTCTTGCGTGTTTTAATGGTACAATTTCTTTTGTAGCCATCTGAGACTTCGCAAAGCAAAAAACAGAAGTGTGCCTCGAAAACAAAGAAGGTTACTCCTTTCCACTTCGACTCTGCCAATCCACCAGAGAGTGTGTGTTGGGTTCAGACTGATTCTAATGAAGATACGTGGAAACCTTTTGTTGATGGCAACATGGTTCCTGAAACCCAGAAACAAGAATGGGATGCTGTCTTCTCAAGAGTATCGAAGCTGAAGAGAGGAGAAAAACAAACAGGGAAATAGGCGGCTATCCAAACTCTTCTCACTATCTATCTAGACTAGATTGTGTCTCAAATGCCTTTGCCTTACTTTTTTAGTTTTCATAAAGGGATCTCATAGCTGTTGAGAACTTCTTGTTTTGGCAAAGGTGTAGGCATAAATTGCTTCACCTAAACTTTGTTCATGAATCATGATGTTTTGGTACCATTGAACTCTTATTTTGAAATAAATTAGTTTCAAGACCAATAAATTTGAAGCATTTTAGTATAGGATTGACATATGAGGTCTTTATCTTAATGCTTGTGAAGTTTGCATCACAGATTACAAGTTTGAGCCGTGGAAATAATCATTAATTAGGTAGACGGTCTACATTACACCCCCTTGAGGTGTGTCCTTGAAATCTGCGTGAATACAAGATATTTTTGTACATCAGGCTGATTTTTTTTCTTTCTTAATTATTAATTATATTATATTTGCATAGATGATTAGATCACTCATATAGGTTGATTTATTCTTGGTGTAGCTTTGATCGTAGTGTAATTTCATTTTAATTCTTAGCAAATTTGTAGGGATTCTCTCAAACTTATTGTGTCTAAATTAATCAAAAACACTGAAAATTTTCGTAAAAAATCACAATATAAAATCTAATACTACACACCAGAAATAGATCAAAAAGATGTATCCAAGAAATTTACACTATACTTTAGAAATACCAAAAAGAACGGTAAATATTATACATCCAAATATGAGTTCTCATTAAATATTTTCTTTGCATCAAATATTTTATATTTCACAGTTTCAATTAAATCTAATAATTATCATAGTTTAATAAATATTTCAAACTTAAAAAGAATAAAAATGCTAAGGGGTCGTTTGGTTGGGAACAAGTTATCCCATGATTAGTTATCCTGGGGTTAGCTATCCTAGGATAACTTATCCCACCATGTATATGAGATTACTTATCCCATCGCTATGATATAAATGGTGAGATAAGTTATCCCAAACATGGCAACCAAACAAGATTCAAATTTTTTATTCCATCACTATTTTGTTATCCCATCACTATTTATATTTATCCCTCACACCAAACGACCCCTAAAGACTTAAAAGTAGAGCTGTCAATATGGGTTGGCCCAACCCATTCGGGCTAATCCATACATGCTTTACAATTTGATGGGCCAGGCCGGGATAGCCCATTTTTTTAATGTGGGCCAGAAAATGGTCGGCCCAGCCTACAAGTGCATGGGCTATGGGCTTTGCCGTGCTAACTCTCTTTTCTTAAAAGTTTATTTTTTATAATTTTTTAAATTAAATTATAATTTATAAATATTAACATAAGTATCGACAAGTGTTACTACTTGTTAATCAAATACACAAATAAAATTATCTATTTAATATTTATTAAGTTTGATTTCAAGTAAAAACATTAAGCGCTAAATAGAAATATTAACCTAATTGTTTTCCAATGATCATAATAAAACACAAAAACTATGATAATATTCCATATATAGGCTATGGCCTATACGTAGTGATTCCCTAAAATTTTTAGGAACTTTATTTTATGTAGTACATATTTTATAAACATAATTTGTATTTAAATTGTAATATTTCAAACTTTAAAAGGATTCTGAGTGTAGACTCCTGTTATTTTTAATATTCTATTTTATTTTTATTCTTTAATTAATTTTATTTGTCCCACGGGCCGGCCCTATCCATGTTTCTCAATCCCCACAAATCGACAGACTTATTCAGACCGGGCTAAAAAGCTATGTTCTTAAATGGGCTCCAAAAATCATACCCCAGCCCTATCAAATCACGGGTTAGGCCAGGTCGGCCCAACGGGCCTTGCCCATATTGACAACTCTACTTTTGGTATCATTTTTTTGTTTTCTCATCTATTTTTTTTTCCGAACAAGTAGTTTATACAAACTTCTCAACTTTTCCATTATTTTTTCTAGACAACACAAAGTGCTGAAGAAATTGAATTCTTTTTTCAGTGATGGAAGATGGAGATTTACTAAGTACTAAGAAAAAATGGAGAAATAGATGAGAGAAGTAAAATTAATAATAGTAATGGTGGTGAGAAGAATGTAGAGATTTCAGTACCTACTGCTTCTACTATGTCTCCTGGGTTTTGATTTTGTATGACGGTTGAAGAACTCGTATTAGATTACTTGAGGAAGAAGGGTCGATAAATGGAAGATAGAGATTTTTTAGCCTTTGAGATCTCACAGGTCCTTGCTTCCCCTTTTTTTTTTGCCTCTGTACGGGTACGGTTGAGCTACATCTTACCTTCACCAAACTTCACTTGTGGGATTATACTAGGTATGTTTTTGTAGTGTTAATATGTGTTATTGTAAATGATCACTTTTAACTTTTACAAGGACATGATGCATCTTGAAATTACTGATGACATGACCTCAGATAAGAGGGTTTGAAGGTCACAAATTTGGTTGGAAGGTTAGTCGGTATTTGAGCATATTGTCGCATCCTGTGCTTACTGTGGACAAGACCTCAGATAGAAGGATTTAGTGCTTATGGATTAGGATTTAGTGCTTGCATCTTGTGCTTAGAAAAAGAGTCGACATATATTTAGTTTTTGTTTTATCTTCAAAAAATTAATCTATAACTGTAAAAAATATGTCTAAATTATTTAAAATCATAAAAAGATAATTAAAAATAGACCAATCACATGCTGCCAGAGCACTTGGCTACTAAAGGAGGGGGGGGGGGGAGTAGTGCTTCTAGAAACAAAATGAAATATGTTTCTAGATTTAAAAAGGAATGTTATTTATAGTTTATGAAAATTTACTTAAAAAGTACAACCAAAAATATATTGTCTGTCATTTTCCATTATTCAATAGATATTCTTCTCTCTATTGACTCTTTCAACGCTTCCCCACCCTAAAAACCCCATACGATGACTGAAGCCGCCACCGTCTCATCCATCCCGCTGGTAACCATTACCGACGGTGAATTTCGGGATGGCTCCTTCCAGACGGATCCGTTGTTACAGTCCGAAACCTACATCGACGCTGAACCGAACAACGATGTACTGCCAAATGAAGAAAATGGGGCCAATCTGACTCCGGTGCTGGCGGGGACTACTCTGGAGATGCAGAGGACCGCGTTGGCGGCTGAGATGCTTATGCCGGTGCATCAGGTGAATGTTGAGAGGCCAAGCTTATTGTCGGGGGAGTGGAAGTTTGAAACACAAATCTGCCATGTTGATAGGGTAGAAATTCCGTCTCTAAACTACATATGCATATAGTGTTGGACTTAACTTGTGGCTACATTTGGATTATTTTTCCTCTTTTATCCTCTATTTAACAAAATAAATCTACGTTTATATTTTACTCATCATGATTTCAGAATGCTATGTAATTATAACTCTTATTTAGTGTTATATATGCCTTTCTTCTGTGTTTTGTGTTTGTATTTTTGAAAATGCGTTGATATGTGTTACTTGAGGTGAGGGTCTTTCCGAAATAACCTCTTTACCTCTCAGGAGGTAGGAGTAAGGTATGTGTTTATTCTACCCTCCCAAAACACCACTTGTGGGATTACACTGGGTATATTGTTGTTGTTATTGTTGTTGGTTGCTGTGCGTTATATAGCAAATGCATCTGAAAATGTGGTTATTTTCTCTAGTTTTTATTTTTAAAATTGGAGTTTGAATTAGAAATTATTTTAGAAACTAGAGCATGAAGGATTTTTAATTGTTTGTCGTGTTCAATAAAAGCAGAGACTGTTGTGTTTTGATTATGAACAAATGATAAGCTGTTATTCTACAAGTTTCTCGTCTGATCTATTGAATTAATTAGAATGTAGATGATAGATATAGTACAAGGATAAATAGTGAAATGGTGGCTGGAATGTGACAAAGATATAGACGTCTTATAAAGTGAAAAATAGCTAGTCTGCAGTACTATGATGAACCAGTTTTCGGGGGGTAAATTTCGGTCAAAAAATAAGGTGCTTTATATCCTGTAAATGGGCGGCAAGCACAAGAAAGGAAACAGTTGCAGCTGCAGTGATGCTACAATTGGTGAATCAAAACATTAGTTATAACCTATCACTTCTATGTTTGTATTAGTCTTCCCTTTGCTTCAAAGAAACATACATCTTCTTGCGTGTTTTAATGGTTCAATTTCTTTTTCAGCCATCTGAGACTCCGCAAAGCAAAAAACAGAAGAGTGGCTCAAAAACAAAGAAGGCTACTCCTTTCCACTTCGACTCTGCCAATCCGCCAGAGAGTGTGAGCTGGGTTATGACTGATTCTAATGAAGATACGTGGAAACCTTTTGTTGATGGCAGCATGGTTCTTGAAACCCAGAAACAC